AGAAACTCTTCTATTTCATTGTCATAGTCGGTGACTACGTTGTGGAACTCGTTACGCTTCAGCGTAAACTTTTTGCCCGCATTCTGATAGCCCTCGAACAGTATTTCACCTGCTCTTACAGCAAGCGGATAGATGAACTTGTACAGCTCCTCGATTTCGCTTTTGTTTGCTGTCATTGTTTGGCTTTGAGTCGAAGACTTGAATGCTTCGTCAGCTAGCGTCGAGAACTGAACTTGCACTGAGTAGTCACCAAGCGAGTTTCTCACTCAGCCGTGACTAGAAATTTGCTCAACTGAGCAACTGAGATACCAAAAGCTTTCTGTTTACTTGGCTTACAAATTAAAAATATAGGGAGAATCTTTGAAGAGATTGACTGACTATTGAATGCTCTATATGATTATTAAAGGGTATGCTATAGTGTAGCATTAACCAATATTCTTAACATTCACATACACATATTTTCTTAACATATTTGGATGCAATCATTCACATATAAAATTTGTGTCTTTTCAGGGTCCTCCACAGGGTGGTCAGGGTCCGCCTAGTGGCCCGCCCGGTGGTCCGCCCGAACGTTCTGGGCAAGAGAATCTGCATGCTCTGCAGCGAGCCATCGACTCGATGGAGGAGAAGGGCCTGCAGGAAGATCCACGATATTCGCAACTTTTGGCCATGCGCGCCACCTCCAAGCATCAGCATCTTAGTATCAATCAAGTGAATCTGCTGCGCACCCAGATTTCGGCCTATCGCCTGCTGGCGCGCAACAAGCCCATTTCCATGCAGATGCAGCAGGCACTGCAGGCGGCACAGCAACAGCAGCAACAGCAGCAGCAACAACAGCAGCAACAACAGCAGCAGCAACAGCAGCAGCAGCAACAACAGCCGCCGCAACCCATTGGACCGCCGGGTATGCCTGGTGGACCACCGCCAGGTGGGCCACATGCAGGTCCGCAGCCAATGCAGGCGCAGCAGCCGCCCTCGACGGGCACACCGCCTCAATGCTCAACACCACCAGCTAGTCCATATGGGCCACCTGTGCCGGGCCAGAAAATGCAGCCAGCGCCGCCGCCGCATATGCAAGGGCAACCGTTGCAGCCGCAGCCTCCACTAATTGGCGGTGCACCACCAACGCCGCAGCAGCAACAACAGATGCAACAGCACCAACAGCAGCAACAACAACAGCAGCAACAACAGCAGCAGCAGCAACAACAGCAGCAACAGCAGCAGCAACAACAACAACAGCAGCAACAGCAATTGCAGCAACAGCAGCAGCAGCAGCAGCAGCAACAACAACAACAGCAGCAGCAGCAACAACAACAGCAACAGTTGCCACTGCAGCCACCGCCTGAGCAAATGCAGCATCAGCAACACAATGGTGGTAAGCCGCTGTCGATGGGCCCTGCTGGTGGACCGCCGCTGATACCAGCGACGCCCATGCAGGCGCAGGGCATTCGTCCTGCAGCTCCGTGCTTGCCCGGCAATCAAGTGGCGCCTCCGGGCCCGCCACGGCCTGGTGCACCGCCCGGACAGCAACAGCCGATGCCCAAGCCGAATCGTGTGACCACTGTGGCCAAGCCGGTGGGTCTCGATCCCATAACGTTGCTGCAGGAGCGTGAGAATCGCATAGCTGCTCGTATTTCGCTGCGCATGCAGGAGCTGCAACGTCTGCCGGCTACCATGTCCGAGGATCTGCGTCTGCAGGCGGCTATTGAGCTGCGGGCCCTGCGTGTTCTGAATTTCCAGCGCCAGCTGCGCATGGAAATTGTGCAGTGCACCAGGCGAGACACCACTCTGGAGACGGCCATCAACATGAAGTTCTACAAGCGCACCAAGCGCCAAGGCCTGCGAGAGGCACGTGCCACCGAGAAGCTAGAGAAGCAACAAAAGCTCGAGGCAGAACGCAAACGTAGGCAGAAGCACCTTGAGTTCTTGTCGGCTGTGCTGCAGCATGGCAAGGATCTGCGTGAATATCATCGCAACAACAAGGTGAGTGCAATAGAAGACATGGGCGCAACTTGGCTCTGATGATAAAATCTTAATTGTCCATTTGCAGGCTCAGTTGGCGCGCATGAACAAGTCGGTGATGAACTACCATGCGAATGCGGAGCGTGAACAGAAGAAAGAACAGGAGCGCATTGAGAAGGAGCGTATGCGTCGCCTGATGGCCGAGGATGAGGAGGGCTACCGCAAGCTGATTGATCAAAAGAAGGACAAACGATTGGCATTCCTGCTGTCGCAGACAGACGAGTACATTAGCAACCTCACCCAGATGGTGAAGCAGCACAAGGACGACCAGATGAAGAAGAAGGAGGAGGAAGGCAAGCGCCTGCAGCAATACAAAAAGGAGCTGTTGATGAGCGGCGAATATGTCAACATTGATGAGAGCAGTATTGCGGCCGATATGCGCGTCCATGTTGTGGAGCAATGCAGCGGCAAGAAGCTAACAGGAGATGATGCACCAATGCTGAAGCATTTACATCGCTGGCTCAACATGCATCCGGGCTGGGATTGGATTGATGACGACGATGATGACAACGACGAGTCGCCAGAGAAGAAGCCGAAACCAAAGCTGGAGGAGCAGCCGCAGGAACGCAATGCTGCTGCCGAGGGATCTGAGGATGCAACAGATAAGGCAGCACAGCCCGGTGAGGCGGGCGCCAATGATTTGATCAATCAGGTCAAAGTGGAGGACGATGAATATCGCACTGAGGAGCAAACGTATTACAGCATTGCGCATACCGTGCACGAAAAGGTCACCGAGCAGGCCAGCATTATGGTCAACGGTCAGCTGAAGGAGTATCAATTGAAGGGTCTCGAATGGCTGGTGTCGCTCTACAATAACAATTTGAATGGCATTTTGGCCGATGAGATGGGTCTGGGCAAGACCATCCAAACGATTTCGCTGGTCACCTATTTAATGGATCGCAAAAAGGTTATGGGTCCATACCTAATCATTGTACCGCTCTCCACACTGCCCAATTGGGTGCTGGAGTTCGAGAAGTGGGCGCCCGCCGTAGGCGTGGTCAGCTACAAGGGCAGTCCACAGGGTCGTCGTCTGCTCCAGAATCAAATGAGAGCCACCAAATTCAATGTGCTGCTCACCACATACGAGTATGTGATCAAGGATAAGGCGGTGCTGGCCAAGATTCAATGGAAGTACATGATTATCGATGAGGGCCATCGCATGAAGAATCATCATTGCAAATTGACGCAGGTGCTCAATACGCATTACATAGCGCCTTATCGGCTGCTCCTTACGGGTACACCATTGCAGAATAAGCTGCCCGAGCTGTGGGCGCTGCTTAACTTTTTGCTACCTTCCATTTTCAAGTCGTGCTCCACCTTTGAGCAGTGGTTCAATGCACCGTTCGCCACCACCGGCGAGAAGGTCGAGCTGAATGAGGAGGAAACCATTTTGATTATTCGACGTTTGCACAAGGTGTTGCGTCCCTTCCTGCTGCGTCGTCTCAAAAAGGAGGTGGAGCACCAGCTGCCCGACAAGGTCGAGTACATTATCAAGTGCGATATGTCCGCATTGCAGCGAGTGCTCTACAAGCACATGCAGAGCAAGGGCGTCCTGCTCACCGATGGCTCCGAGAAGGGCAAGCATGGCAAGGGCGGAGCCAAGGCTCTGATGAACACCATCGTGCAGCTGCGTAAGCTTTGCAATCATCCATTCATGTTCCAGCACATCGAGGAGAAGTACTGCGATCATACCGGAGGACATGGCGTTGTATCAGGTAAATATTCCCCTCTATATTCTTATATGCAGTTTCGCTATACACTTGGATTGCTTTGCAGGACCCGATCTGTATCGTGTGTCGGGTAAATTTGAGCTGCTGGATCGCATTTTGCCCAAGCTGAAAGCAACGAATCATCGCGTGTTGCTCTTCTGTCAGATGACCCAGTGCATGACCATTATTGAGGATTACTTGAGTTGGCGACAGTTTGGCTACTTGCGTCTGGACGGTACCACCAAGGCCGAGGATCGTGGCGAGCTGCTGCGTAAATTTAATGCAAAGGGCTCGGATTACTTTGTCTTCTTGCTGTCCACACGCGCTGGTGGCCTCGGCTTGAATTTGCAGACAGCCGACACAGTGGTTATATTCGATTCCGATTGGAATCCGCATCAGGATCTGCAGGCACAGGATCGTGCCCATCGTATCGGTCAGCGTAATGAGGTGCGTGTGCTGCGTCTCATGACGGTCAATTCGGTGGAGGAGCGCATTTTGGCCGCGGCCCGGTATAAGCTGAACATGGACGAGAAAGTCATCCAGGCGGGCATGTTCGATCAGAAATCTACGGGAAGTGAGCGTCAGCAATTCTTGCAAACAATTTTGCACCAGGACGACAACGAGGAGGAGGAGGAGAACGAGGTGCCAGATGATGAGATGATTAACATGATGATAGCGCGCAGTGAAGAGGAAATTGAAATATTCAAGAAAATGGATATTGAACGCAAGAAAGAGGATGAGGAAATACATCCGGGCAGAGAACGTCTTATCGACGAGTCTGAGCTGCCTGACTGGCTGACCAAGGATGACGACGAAGTGGAGCGTTTCCATTACCAATATGATGAGGATACCATATTGGGTAAGTGGATATCTTTATATATGTATAATGAAAAGTAAACTAATCTTTTTACTTGCATTTGTAGGTCGTGGATCACGACAGCGCAAGGAAGTTGACTATACGGACAGCCTGACCGAAAAGGAATGGCTGAAGGCTATCGATGATGGCGCTGAATTCGATGAAGAGGAAGAGGAGGATCTCGACTCCAAGCGCAAGCGTCGCAAGCGCAAGAATCGGAAAGACGAATCCGATGATGATTCACTCATATTGAAGCGCAGACGCCGCCAGAACTTGGACAAGCGGTCCAAGAAGCAAATGCACAAGATCATGAGTGCTGTCATCAAGCACACACAGGATGGTCGCACACTGTCTGAGCCATTTATGAAGCTACCCTCGCGACAACGGCTGCCCGACTATTATGATATTATCAAGCGGCCGGTGGACATTAAGAAAATACTGCAGCGTATCGAGGACTGTAAATATGCGGATCTCAATGAGCTGGAGAAGGACTTTATGCAGCTCTGCCAGAATGCGCAAATCTACAATGAGGAAGCGTCACTGATCTATCTCGATTCCATAGCGTTGCAGAAGATTTTTGTCAGTGCCCGGCAAAGAGTTACGGCAGCTGCGGACGCGGCTGCTGTGGCCGCTGGCGAGAACACTGGTGATGCTCATGGCAATGGCGGGGGCGCCGGTGGCTCCGACAATTCGGACAATGACGATGACGATGGCGATGATGGTTCCGATGATGAGGAGATAGCCACCACATCTGCGGCGGCCGTTAAAATGAAGCTAAAACTTAACAAATCGCTGGCCAGTGCACCAGCCACGCCCACTCAATCCTCAGCGGCTGCCTCGGTGGCCAGCGGTGCAGCGACCACATCCAAGAAGCAGACGCGTCGGAAGCGCGCTCAAAAGAAGTACACCATTTCGGATGACGATGACGACGACATGGACTAGCTGCCACTGGGCGTCATTTTCAAACGAGCATCGAACGGTGCCGAGTTCAACTAACATTTAGTTTACTTTAAGTTCTTTTAGCCACACCCCAATTCAGTTCACCCCACTCCAAGCGTCACAGCCCCCACGTATCCCAATCCCAATCCCAATGCCCGTCAGCATTGCAATAATGAAACTTTCAACAGTTTTTCGCACATACAAAAAAACACAATGATATATTCATATATATTTAAAGCAAATACTTTTAAAATAAATCCACAGTCTGTCCTAAATAAATCGGACTGTCTTTATAGAAAAACAAAAACAAATATACTGGAATTTACAAGACATAGAAAAATCCAAAGTAGTATTTGCAAAAAATACATTGTAACTTTAGGAAATGCAAAAAAATTATGTATATATATATATTTATATATAATAATAAGTTCAAAGCCGATATGCAACTACAACAAATAGTGAAAATATTCATCACAGAACTCGTGAATGGATGAGACATATTCCTCATCGCCGCTGTCGTTGCGCCGCACCGGAATTTTGTGCGCATTCGCGTAGAGATCCTCATCGATGTTGACATCATCGGTTTCTGAAAAAAATATATATATAATATATGTATATGTTTAATTGAATGGCAATTGATTAAGGGCGCGGACAACAAGCTTCAGACTTAGGCAAAGGCAAGTATTTAGGTCATAGCTTGGAATAATTGAAGGTCTACGGTGATACATGCATATACATACATACATACATATAACTTATATCTTGTATCGTCCCGATTACTTAGAGAACTTTGGCAAAAATACGATTAGTGTCAGTTTGTTTTGCTTCATTTACAAGAGATAAGCGATTTGTTTTTATGTTTTATCAAATATTTGATGTAAACAAAGCGAATTAAGTGCTTTATGGAAAATATTTCTTTGATTATGATTACTTTACAACGTTTATTAAACTTACCTCTATATTTTTGTTTTCTGCCCAGACGTAGCTTGGAGCTGGAAAGTACCGCCTCATCGCACAAATCCAAGTCCAGATTTGTAGAGCATCTGGAGTAGCGTACGGGAGGAGCGAGAAACCAATATGATTGCATAATTCTTTTCAGGCCAGGCATTTGACGCAGCTCATCGAGCTTTTGCGGCTGCTTAGCAAGCGATTCGAATGCGCGCAGCTGCAGCGTTGCCGCCTGAGAGGTGGAGTTAATCAAGCGAATGACAGACTTGGCAGCAGTTGAGCAGACCATGGGATAGATTTTGACATGCGGGTCTGTTGGTATGTTCGTGTAGGCCACTCCGAGGGAGCGGCGGTTCAAAAAGAATTCCAAATGGCCACGTGTGCGATCCAGATAGATGCCTACCAAGCAGCCCTGGGAAAACTTTTGACCATAGGGCAACTGTTCGCCGCAATGCTGGATTTTTCCGTTGTAGGAATAGCCCCAGGATTGGGCATTGGTGCCCAGCGCCGAGACGAAATGGAATTTGAATTGTTTCAGATTAACATTATCGGTGCCTATGCCAAACATCTAGAAAATATTAAGAGAGAGGGAAAGACAAATAAATAGTAGCCGAGTGGAATAATTACGTTTGCATTGACCTTTTCATAAACCGGGCGGTCGAGTTAAAATAGGAATACAACTGGCTTATCAGTTCTCACTCATCACTCACTATGCACCACAGATTTCCTCATGCCGAGAGACAGGCGGACTGTGTCAAGTGCGTTACAGCGGTGTTATCTTTTAAAGTGTTGCTTATCTCTCTAGCTATTTGAATCCCTTTTGATGCAGTTGCCCATGCACTAGAACTTACCACATCAGTACCGGCCAGCACTGTAATTATACGCATCTCCCAGAAATGAACTTTGTCCTGTTGCAGCGGCTGTTCGCCACGTACAATGGCCGTGCCCTGACTGTAGGTGGGATGGAATACGATATCTCTGCCTATGACTTGAGCATCGGAATCTTCCGTGTGATGCCACTGCCACTCCAGGCCATTGCCACTGTCCTCACCGCAGCGACACGTGACCAGATCGGGAATGTTTCCTTTGTGGTTGGCTACATCGATACAGCTGGGAAAACGACAATCGCAGAAACCAGGACAGCGTAGATCCTGATCGATACTCGGTAGCGGCAACATTCTAATATTGTATATTGTCTTCAAATTGATTCACTCTTGTCTACGATCCACTTACTAGCGAGGTTGCTCTACAACTGACTTGCTTATCGATTTGAAGCTCTATAAATTAAAAATTCAAGAGAGTGAGCGTCGTCTGTTTTGTTTACTTCTGCATGGACACAGTGTGACCATAGCGAAGAGAAAAACGAGTGTTGAAAAAACAGGAGCTCAATAAACACAAACTATATCGATGAATATGAAAAATCGATATTAATAACTGATTATTATATCGGTTCGAATACATCTCTATCGCGAAGCCAGCCAATAAACAGCGAAAAAATATTTTTGCCGCTTTAAAATTGCAAAAATAAGTTAATTCTGCACTTAAAGCGATATCAACTAGCTAAACAGATATGGCGGATGCCGCAGCACGTCAATTGCAGTACGAGTACAAGGCGGTAAGTATTAAAAAATATTTGGAAGAAAAGCGGCCGCCACATGCGGTAAACGTTTGCCGAAAATTGTTTCTTGATTTTTATTCTCTCCATACAGAACTCGAATCTTGTGCTGCAAGCTGATGTACGTCTCATCGAGCGTCCGCGTCGTGATGAAGCCACCGGTGAGGTGTGCTCTTTGGTAGGAAAATTGGATGGCACTCGCATGGGTGATCGCTATCAGCGTACAAAGCCGGAAAAAACGGAGGAGCGCAAAGTCAAGCGTCAGAAACGTGACGAGGCACAGTACGATTTCGAGCGCATGAAGGGCGCCACATTGCTATCAGAGGGTATTGATGAAATGGTAGGCATTGTCTATCGCCCAAAGACGCAGGAGACGCGTCAGACCTACGAAGTGCTATTGAGTTTTATACAGGAGGCACTGGGCGATCAGCCACGCGACATTTTATGTGGCGCTGCAGATGAAATTTTGGCTGTGCTCAAGAATGAGCGGCTTAAAGATCGCGA